AGAGAAGGGGGTGTTGTTGTGGGAGCAAGGGGGGTGGGGTGGAAGTGGGGGTAAAGAGAGTATTGTTTTAGCTAGAGTTTAACCACTTCACTGCCAGACCCGAGAATTGAGTTATGGAGCAGGTCTAAGAGTAGAGGCTTATTCCTGGCTGCGTTTCACAAATCCTAGTTTATTAGACATTAGAATTCATTGATGGCTACTTTATGATTTGGAGTAAGTGGTTTGGTCAGGTCGTTGTCCCCTCTCAGCCGCCAACGCTGTCGACCCAACAATGTTAGCGACAGTGAGTTGATCTTGTTGAGACCTTGTGTTTACAAAACACTGTCCTTCCCTTCACATTCTCAAAATCATTCTTTAAAAAAAATTCTCTCAGCCCCTCGAACTTGGTGGATTAGATGAAAAAAACCTAATAACCTTCCTTTAGAGATTAAAATAAAAGCATCTAGACATGCAGAAATAAAATCATTAAGTGATAAGATAACCAGAGCATTGCCTAGTAATGGGAAGATTGTCTTTTATCAACAAGCGTCTATGATTATAATAATGTAAAGTATAGTCTACTGGAATATAAAACCCATAAAAATAACAATTGTGCTCATTTTAAAGTTAAAAAAATGTAATTAAATTTGCATCCTTGCAACTGCATACTTCCTTATGTCCACTACTGAGACACAGCAGTGGCAGTACTGACCCCTGGCCCCTGATCCCTAACTCTAGGTAGGGTATGATGGGAAAGGCTGTTGGGGAGTGGAGATTTGGGTTTGGGTAAGGTATAAGGGAGCGGTTAAGAAGGGTATGGGTGATGAGTTTCAGGGGAGGGATGTGGGATGAGGGGTTTGGGGTTGAGCAAAGTATGCGAGAAGGATGCGAGGTATGGTGGGAGGGATTTGGGGTTGGGCATAGGGTATAGGGTATGGGTACGGGGAGGAAAGGGGGGGGGGTTGGTTAGTGTACGGGGTTAGGTTTTGGAGCAGGATGTGAAGGGTTTATTTGTTCGGGGTAAGGATTAAATCGCCATCTTCCCCATTTCCCCGCCCTTCCACAGACACAAAAAGACATCAAGCCACATAGAATCGGGTGCTTTTTAATACATTATGTATGTGACATAGGAAGATAAGGATGAAAGATGTAATTTGATAAGAAAGAAGGAGCAAGCTACATTAGAGCACCTACCAACCACCCACAAAGAGAGTTAGAGTGTGTACGATGACGACGATGATGATGATGATTTTCAATTATATGGCAATCGATGACTTTGACCAACGCTGAAAGGAATATGATGATGATGATGATGATGATGATGATGATGATGATGATGATGATGATGATGATGAATAATTTCTTTATAATTATCCCCTTGGCCTGGCAGGCTCTGAGTCACTTCCGTCTTGCCTGTAGCCACACGTATTATTAAGACCCTCTTTGCTCGGCCTATTTCCCTGCTAGTATACAGCGCCCATTTAGTTTTTCTCTCAGTTGCTAACGAGGAAGCCCAAGAGGCGAAACGTTGAGCTGTGTCTATTAAACAAATTTTAAACTCTTTCTCCTACTCTGCTTTCCAAACAATGATGATGATGATGATGATGATGATGATGATGATGATGATGATGATGATGATGATCTCGTAATGGGTGACTTACCAACACAGCTCCTCTGACCAATGCTAAAAGGGATCCAACTCTTCGGCTTCAGAGTGAGTTTTCCCCCGTCCTTGTCCAGATATCTCCCCGGCACGAAACTCTCAGGTTGATCCCAGTGATTTGGATCTCGAAGTATGGCATACTGGTTTACCATTATCTCGGTTTTTGCAGGAATGTCGTAGCCCATAAGCTGAAAAGTATATTTGGTAGGTGGGAGGAGGAGTTGGAGGGTGGGAGTGGGGGGGGGGGAGGAAGACAACTGAGATTTAAAAACAAGTTTTAGTTAATTTTTGAGGCACTCACAACATAATAAGGCCATACAAATGCCGAAGAGAAGTGATGTTACAAGAACGAAAGTAACAAACACAAGATGAAGGAGATATAAGGAAGACAGATGTTTAATAGGAAAGAAGGCTTAAACAACACCAGAGCACCCGTCAACAACCCACAAGGAAAACTCAGGAAACGGTGGATTAGGGGAGTAAATAACACCTTAAACACACACGTGTACTACGCTACTGTTTCCTGAGTAACATCCACTGTGTACTATACGACGACTTCTTGTATAACATTCATTATGTACTGTGTCACTACCTCTTGTATAACATTCATTATGTACTGTGTCACTACTTCTTGTATAACATTCATTATGTACTGTGTCACTACTTCTTGTATAATATCCACTGTGTACTATATGACGACTTCTTGTATAATATCCACTGTGTACTATATGACGACTTCTTGTATAACATCCACTATGTACTATTTGACAACTTCTTGTATAACATCCACTGTGTACTATATGACGATTTTTACTTCTTGTATAACATCCACTGTGTACTATATGACGATTTTTACTTCTTGTATAACATCCACTGTGTACTATATAACAACTTCTTGTATAACATCCACTATGTACTATTTAACAACTTCTTGTATAACATCCACTATGTACTATATAACAACT